TTCCCTCCTCCCTCCTTGCCACACCTTTCCCTTGCCCTCTTTCCGCTTTCTCACCTTCCCACACTGGCCCAACGCAACGCAACGCACCCGATGGTAAGCAGGGGGTTGACGGTGGTGTTATCAGAGTGCGTGAACCACACTTGCTTCGACAGCAGCACCCCCTCGCTCGGTTGATGGCACTTATACACTCCTCGCTCCCACTCCCGCTCCCCTTTTCCCCTCCCCTCCTGCACTTCCTCCTCGCCCTCCTCTCCCCCTCTTCCCCCTCCTCCCTTTACCCCTTCACGCTTTCCCTCCTCCCTCCTTGCCACACCTTTCCCTTGCCCTCTTTCCGCTTTCTCACCTTCCCACACTGGCCCAACGCAACGCAACGCACCCGATGGTAAGCAGGGGGTTGACGGTGGTGTTATCAGAGTGCGTGAACCACACTTGCTTCGACAGCAGCACCCCCTCGCTCGGTTGATGGCACTTATACACTCCTCGCTCCCACTCCCGCTCCCCTTTTCCCCTCCCCTCCTGCACTTCCTCCTCGCCCTCCTCTCCCCCTCTTCCCCCTCCTCCCTTTACCCCTTCACGCTTTCCCTCCTCCCTCCTTGCCACACCTTTCCCTTGCCCTCTTTCCGCTTTCTCACCTTCCCACACTGGCCCAACGCAACGCAACGCACCCGATGGTAAGCAGGGGGTTGACGGTGGTGTTATCAGAGTGCGTGAACCACACTTGCTTCGACAGCAGCACCCCCTCGCTCGGTTGATGGCACTTATACACTCCTCGCTCCCACTCCCGCTCCCCTTTTCCCCTCCCCTCCTGCACTTCCTCCTCGCCCTCCTCTCCCCCTCTTCCCCCTCCTCCCTTTACCCCTTCACGCTTTCCCTCCTCCCTCCTTGCCACACCTTTCCCTTGCCCTCTTTCCGCTTTCTCACCTTCCCACACTGGCCCAACGCAACGCAACGCACCCGATGGTAAGCAGGGGGTTGACGGTGGTGTTATCAGAGTGCGTGAACCACACTTGCTTCGACAGCAGCACCCCCTCGCTCGGTTGATGGCACTTATACACTCCTCGCTCCCACTCCCGCTCCCCTTTTCCCCTCCCCTCCTGCACTTCCTCCTCGCCCTCCTCTCCCCCTCTTCCCCCTCCTCCCTTTACCCCTTCACGCTTTCCCTCCTCCCTCCTTGCCACACCTTTCCCTTGCCCTCTTTCCGCTTTCTCACCTTCCCACACTGGCCCAACGCAACGCAACGCACCCGATGGTAAGCAGGGGGTTGACGGTGGTGTTATCAGAGTGCGTGAACCACACTTGCTTCGACAGCAGCACCCCCTCGCTCGGTTGATGGCACTTATACACTCCTCGCTCCCACTCCCGCTCCCCTTTTCCCCTCCCCTCCTGCACTTCCTCCTCGCCCTCCTCTCCCCCTCTTCCCCCTCCTCCCTTTACCCCTTCACGCTTTCCCTCCTCCCTCCTTGCCACACCTTTCCCTTGCCCTCTTTCCGCTTTCTCACCTTCCCACACTGGCCCAACGCAACGCAACGCACCCGATGGTAAGCAGGGGGTTGACGGTGGTGTTATCAGAGTGCGTGAACCACACTTGCTTCGACAGCAGCACCCCCTCGCTCGGTTGATGGCACTTATACACTCCTCGCTCCCACTCCCGCTCCCCTTTTCCCCTCCCCTCCTGCACTTCCTCCTCGCCCTCCTCTCCCCCTCTTCCCCCTCCTCCCTTTACCCCTTCACGCTTTCCCTCCTCCCTCCTTGCCACACCTTTCCCTTGCCCTCTTTCCGCTTTCTCACCTTCCCACACTGGCCCAACGCAACGCAACGCACCCGATGGTAAGCAGGGGGTTGACGGTGGTGTTATCAGAGTGCGTGAACCACACTTGCTTCGACAGCAGCACCCCCTCGCTCGGTTGATGGCACTTATACACTCCTCGCTCCCACTCCCGCTCCCCTTTTCCCCTCCCCTCCTGCACTTCCTCCTCGCCCTCCTCTCCCCCTCTTCCCCCTCCTCCCTTTACCCCTTCACGCTTTCCCTCCTCCCTCCTTGCCACACCTTTCCCTTGCCCTCTTTCCGCTTTCTCACCTTCCCACACTGGCCCAACGCAACGCAACGCACCCGATGGTAAGCAGGGGGTTGACGGTGGTGTTATCAGAGTGCGTGAACCACACTTGCTTCGACAGCAGCACCCCCTCGCTCGGTTGATGGCACTTATACACTCCTCGCTCCCACTCCCGCTCCCCTTTTCCCCTCCCCTCCTGCACTTCCTCCTCGCCCTCCTCTCCCCCTCTTCCCCCTCCTCCCTTTACCCCTTCACGCTTTCCCTCCTCCCTCCTTGCCACACCTTTCCCTTGCCCTCTTTCCGCTTTCTCACCTTCCCACACTGGCCCAACGCAACGCAACGCACCCGATGGTAAGCAGGGGGTTGACGGTGGTGTTATCAGAGTGCGTGAACCACACTTGCTTCGACAGCAGCACCCCCTCGCTCGGTTGATGGCACTTATACACTCCTCGCTCCCACTCCCGCTCCCCTTTTCCCCTCCCCTCCTGCACTTCCTCCTCGCCCTCCTCTCCCCCTCTTCCCCCTCCTCCCTTTACCCCTTCACGCTTTCCCTCCTCCCTCCTTGCCACACCTTTCCCTTGCCCTCTTTCCGCTTTCTCACCTTCCCACACTGGCCCAACGCAACGCAACGCACCCGATGGTAAGCAGGGGGTTGACGGTGGTGTTATCAGAGTGCGTGAACCACACTTGCTTCGACAGCAGCACCCCCTCGCTCGGTTGATGGCACTTATACACTCCTCGCTCCCACTCCCGCTCCCCTTTTCCCCTCCCCTCCTGCACTTCCTCCTCGCCCTCCTCTCCCCCTCTTCCCCCTCCTCCCTTTACCCCTTCACGCTTTCCCTCCTCCCTCCTTGCCACACCTTTCCCTTGCCCTCTTTCCGCTTTCTCACCTTCCCACACTGGCCCAACGCAACGCAACGCACCCGATGGTAAGCAGGGGGTTGACGGTGGTGTTATCAGAGTGCGTGAACCACACTTGCTTCGACAGCAGCACCCCCTCGCTCGGTTGATGGCACTTATACACTCCTCGCTCCCACTCCCGCTCCCCTTTTCCCCTCCCCTCCTGCACTTCCTCCTCGCCCTCCTCTCCCCCTCTTCCCCCTCCTCCCTTTACCCCTTCACGCTTTCCCTCCTCCCTCCTTGCCACACCTTTCCCTTGCCCTCTTTCCGCTTTCTCACCTTCCCACACTGGCCCAACGCAACGCAACGCACCCGATGGTAAGCAGGGGGTTGACGGTGGTGTTATCAGAGTGCGTGAACCACACTTGCTTCGACAGCAGCACCCCCTCGCTCGGTTGATGGCACTTATACACTCCTCGCTCCCACTCCCGCTCCCCTTTTCCCCTCCCCTCCTGCACTTCCTCCTCGCCCTCCTCTCCCCCTCTTCCCCCTCCTCCCTTTACCCCTTCACGCTTTCCCTCCTCCCTCCTTGCCACACCTTTCCCTTGCCCTCTTTCCGCTTTCTCACCTTCCCACACTGGCCCAACGCAACGCAACGCACCCGATGGTAAGCAGGGGGTTGACGGTGGTGTTATCAGAGTGCGTGAACCACACTTGCTTCGACAGCAGCACCCCCTCGCTCGGTTGATGGCACTTATACACTCCTCGCTCCCACTCCCGCTCCCCTTTTCCCCTCCCCTCCTGCACTTCCTCCTCGCCCTCCTCTCCCCCTCTTCCCCCTCCTCCCTTTACCCCTTCACGCTTTCCCTCCTCCCTCCTTGCCACACCTTTCCCTTGCCCTCTTTCCGCTTTCTCACCTTCCCACACTGGCCCAACGCAACGCAACGCACCCGATGGTAAGCAGGGGGTTGACGGTGGTGTTATCAGAGTGCGTGAACCACACTTGCTTCGACAGCAGCACCCCCTCGCTCGGTTGATGGCACTTATACACTCCTCGCTCCCACTCCCGCTCCCCTTTTCCCCTCCCCTCCTGCACTTCCTCCTCGCCCTCCTCTCCCCCTCTTCCCCCTCCTCCCTTTACCCCTTCACGCTTTCCCTCCTCCCTCCTTGCCACACCTTTCCCTTGCCCTCTTTCCGCTTTCTCACCTTCCCACACTGGCCCAACGCAACGCAACGCACCCGATGGTAAGCAGGGGGTTGACGGTGGTGTTATCAGAGTGCGTGAACCACACTTGCTTCGACAGCAGCACCCCCTCGCTCGGTTGATGGCACTTATACACTCCTCGCTCCCACTCCCGCTCCCCTTTTCCCCTCCCCTCCTGCACTTCCTCCTCGCCCTCCTCTCCCCCTCTTCCCCCTCCTCCCTTTACCCCTTCACGCTTTCCCTCCTCCCTCCTTGCCACACCTTTCCCTTGCCCTCTTTCCGCTTTCTCACCTTCCCACACTGGCCCAACGCAACGCAACGCACCCGATGGTAAGCAGGGGGTTGACGGTGGTGTTATCAGAGTGCGTGAACCACACTTGCTTCGACAGCAGCACCCCCTCGCTCGGTTGATGGCACTTATACACTCCTCGCTCCCACTCCCGCTCCCCTTTTCCCCTCCCCTCCTGCACTTCCTCCTCGCCCTCCTCTCCCCCTCTTCCCCCTCCTCCCTTTACCCCTTCACGCTTTCCCTCCTCCCTCCTTGCCACACCTTTCCCTTGCCCTCTTTCCGCTTTCTCACCTTCCCACACTGGCCCAACGCAACGCAACGCACCCGATGGTAAGCAGGGGGTTGACGGTGGTGTTATCAGAGTGCGTGAACCACACTTGCTTCGACAGCAGCACCCCCTCGCTCGGTTGATGGCACTTATACACTCCTCGCTCCCACTCCCGCTCCCCTTTTCCCCTCCCCTCCTGCACTTCCTCCTCGCCCTCCTCTCCCCCTCTTCCCCCTCCTCCCTTTACCCCTTCACGCTTTCCCTCCTCCCTCCTTGCCACACCTTTCCCTTGCCCTCTTTCCGCTTTCTCACCTTCCCACACTGGCCCAACGCAACGCAACGCACCCGATGGTAAGCAGGGGGTTGACGGTGGTGTTATCAGAGTGCGTGAACCACACTTGCTCCGACAGCAGCACCCCCTCGCTCTTCCCGGTGCTCGTCTTGTCACCGCTCAGCAGCAGGCTCCCGGGGGACCCTAGAGGGCTCTTGGCGATGGGGAACGAGTGCGAGTACGTGCACCTGCCTGCGCGCACAGCACACAGGAATGGCGGATGGGAGCATTACTGGAATCAGGTTCGGGACTTCTCAAAAGGGACCCCAGAGGGCTCTTGGCGATGGGGAACGAGTGCGTGTACGTGCACCTGCCTGCGCGCATGGCATGGCATGGGAACCGGGAGCAGTACTGGAATCACTTCTGAGCATTCTCGACAATGGCGTACACGCGTGCGCGCACAGCGGGTACGAGCAATGCTGGAGTCACTTAGGAGAGTTCTCAAAAGAGAGGGATCGCGATGGGCTTCTGCCAATGATGCAGCGGAACAACAATGATGGGGCGCCTCACAACTTGGCAAAACTTGGCAACGATGGGGAGAGAGTGCGTGCGTGCATGCGTGCGATATGTGCACATACATACATACATACATACCTGTGCGCACAGCAGATGGGATGACGGTAGAGGCGAGGTTGCAGCCGACTTGTCCAAGCGGCACAGGCTGCCCCGTCACAGCGGTGCACGTGGGGGTAGCACACGCCATGCGCGTTGAGTTGCTGGCCGTGGTGTTGAACGGCGGCCGCTCCTGTGGACACCACCAGGACAGGAGCGGACACGGGACAGCAGCAAAGCAGTGGGGGTTGGGGGGGGGGGGGGATGGGAACGAGGGGAAGGGGAGGGGGGGTGTGGGGTTGGGGGGGTTGGGGTGGGGTGGGGGGGGGGGGGGGGGGTGTTGATTGATTCGACTTAGAAAAGTGACTAGTCCGAATGACTGATCTCCCCACATGCTCCTTGAGAATGGCGCCGGCAGTGCGGCACTGAATGCAGTCACAGGAGGAGGAGATCCAGGTGAGGGGAGTGAGTGAGGTGGTTCTTCTTGGAGAAACTCCAAAGTCACAAGTCAGTTCCACTCACCTTGAAAATGGCGCCCGCAGTGCGGCACTGGATGCAGTCGCAGGAGACCCAGGTGAGCGGCGTGAGGTTGTCGACACGCAGGTTCATGATGTGCTTGATGGGCCCGAACTCCATGCTTATGTAGTACGACGATCTGCCATGCCGTGCCGTGCCGTGCCGTGCCATGTCATGCCATGCCACACAAGCACGTTCACACACACCGTCTGTCATGGTCGCATGATGGTATGATGGCATGATGCTGTGATAGTATGATGGTATAATGGCATGATGGCATGATGGCATGATGGTGTGATGGCATAATGGCGTGATGGCATGTTGGCATGTTGGCTGGCATGGTCGTATGTTTAGCATGATGATACAACGTTACCTGTTCACGCTGAACGGCCCTCCTCTGAACATCTTGATCACTCTCCGTCGCCGCAGTGTGTTGGTTACCTGATAGCAACGCACACAGGAGGAAACAAGGGGGAAGGAGGCGCGGGGTGGAGGGTACGACAGGGACAGAGGGCGAGAGGTAGAGGGAGACTTCAAGAGGGATGGATAAAACCGGCGAGAGGGGGGAGGGGGAAAGGATGCGAGGGAAGTGAGAGAGATCGAGGGAGGAGGGAAGAGGGGAAGAGGAGAAGAGTTTGGGGGGAGAAGCACAGAAGAGCGAAACTGCGTTCCAGTTGACCCATCGACCCAACCAAAAGAGCACGCAACGAGGGAGGGAGGGGAGGGGAGGGGAGGGAAGAGGAGGGGAGGGGAGGGAAGAGGAGGGGAGGGGAGGGGAGGGGAGGGAAGAGGAGGGGAGGGGAGGGGAGGGAAGAGGAGGGGAGGGAAGGGGAGGGGAGGGGAGGGGAGGGGAGGGGAGGGGAGGGGAGGGGAGGGGAGGGGAGGGGAGGGGAGAGGACCCAGGACGCCCACGTCCACTGCGCTGCGATCTAACCTGGTCTTGGCAACACTCACTGGTGAGAGGGGAAGAGGGCCCACATGCTGTCAACACTATGTTCATGCCCACCGCGCTGCAGGACCCTCTCCTACCCACTATTCGAATTCACTCCTCCGGAAAAAGCTCGAGAGTGGACACGCTTCCAGCAGCAGAGGCCCCTCTTTGGCGCCTCCGGAGCAAACGAACCATGCCCATGGCGCCCCTCTAGCAGCAATGCACGGCACGAACGAGCCACGTCCATTACACCCCTCTAGAAGCATGAGCCGTGCTCACGGCGTGGCACGGCACGGCACGGCACGAACGAACGAACGAACGAACCAGGTCCATGGTGCTGATGCCCTGCCGCGAGAGGCGGTACGCCGTGCCGCCAGCCGCCAAGCTCGTGGCGGCGCCGTACAGGCCCGTGCCCGGCAGCTCCTCCTCGTCCTTCACCAGGAACGCGCTCTTCACGTCGCCGCCCTGCCGCGCCATGCGGGAGAAAAAAACGTGGAAAAGGTTTGTGCTTGTGAACATATGTGAATATCCGTTTTTTACCCCAACAGCAGCAGCTGCTGCTGCTGCCACGTTAAGTCACCCGTGCCGGGCACCTATTTGTGGCCCGTGCCCGGCAGGTACGCTCCTCCTCGTCCTTCACCAGGAACACGCTCTTCACGACGCCCTGTCGCGCCATTCGCGCCCGCGCGGAACGGAAAGTGACGGCCGTTGGGAGGAACGTTGGGGTTCGAGAGGCGCGGGGGAGAGGCGCAAGGGAGAGGAGGGAGGGAACCGTGGAAGGAAGGGGCGGGGAGGGAAGGGGGAGTAGAATGAAGGGTGGGTGTGGCTGTGTTGTTTTGACTATTGGAGCTGGCAAGCGTGATCCACACATGTCGTGGTGTGTCGTGGTGTGTCACGACTCTGACGGGTGCACCCAGCCTGAGTTGTGAGCTACGCACCCCACGCGAGGAGAAACTCGTGTACAGTAACTCACTGATCTGTGTCGCGCGCGGCGAAAGCGCCACTCACGCTGTATTCAAACTCGCCTGAGTCCACGGTGGAACGGAGCGGATAACAACGACGTTCCACAAACAATAGCGCCGGACCGGTTTGCGTTGAACCCGTCATTTTCACCCGTCCGACAGTGCACCCAGCATCGCACCAGTCATACTCAACCGCCCTGCACTCATCCTCACCGCGCCGTCATTGCATCCGTGGATGCAACTCACCTGCTTCCGCTTCTGTTCCACCGTGATAGCGCCGTTCGCGCGGGGAATCACCAAGACCGCCGCGACCAGCAGGCTTATTAGAACCACGCGAGCGACAGCCGCGGCGAACGCACGAACGGGGAGCAGACGAGAGTCCCTCCCCATTTCCCGCACTGACGGGAGGAGCTTCCGACGGTCTCGTTTCCGCATGGCTATGTCTCGTATCAGATTAGCGGATCGAGATTCGGGCGAGGATGCGGAAACGATGATAAGGACTTCATGGGAGGTGGTGGGTACGAGGAACAGAGAGGAGGAGCGGCCAAGAGGACACGGTCACAGAAGCACCCACTTGACTAGAAGCGAAAGCTAGTGTGAAGGCAGGCAAAGCTGCCTCGATCCAGAGAAGGTCTACGCGTAAGATGCGCAGAGTGGACAATCCGGCAGTCGGATTGCAGCGAGTATGTAGCTGGGAAAACAATCATCTACGAAATGTCGCGGCGGTAGACAGCTGCAGCCGGAAGTTGTTTCTTCCGACAGCGAGATTCATCAGCAGACACACACCCACCAACCAACCAATCTCTCTCAACGCATGGGGGTGATAACTCGAATGGAGCGTCAGAGCGACTACACCCTGTCGTGCGATTAACTTCGATGCAATAAAGTTATCATCCATTAAAGAGCCATTCTGTACCCTCAACCGGGAAAGAGCACCTGGTAAGAGTCTGCCAGTCTAGGAGTGAACACAACCAATCCCTGCCAAAAGTTACATATGGAGAGCTACCCCTGGTTTCTCTGAGACCGAGGGCTGTGTGCGACGAGTTCTTTTTGAAGTGGGTATGTTTCAGGCTCCTTATCCGAGTGGAAGGCCCAAAAATTGCAACAGAAATCTGTTCCTTGCGAGTGAAACTTGGCTCCAACTCCTAGTAAGGAGTTTTCCGACGTAGACCATGACAGAATCATTCGTGCCCCCGACTTTTGGGCGTCGGACTGACGAAACCAGAAATGGTTCAGAATGTCTCTGAAAAACGTCGGAGTGCGCGGCGGTGACCAGGTGGTACCTCAAACTTCATGATTACTCCTGTGAATAAGAAAATGTTCAGTCGTCGATAGTAGCACAGAAAAAATTGGCGAAAATTTACCGAAATTAGCCTGTCTCGAGTAGAAAGCGCGTTCGTAAATCCGACAAGGCTGGGCTGGACTCTCGTCATTCTCAAGGGAAGATGCAACATCTAGGCAGAGCCACGAATTCAGTGTGTATTGGGTCAGATGTACCTTACCTAAGGTACAGTACACGTAAATTACCCAAGCTAACGGGTACGTAAGGAATCCTTTCGGGTCAGGCTGGAGTCAGGGAGATCAGCAGCTCGGGTGGGAAGATGCGACGTGTGAATGGGAAGTACGTGTAGATGCGAGGTTCGTGAGACCCAAACAACACAGTTGTTTTCTCAGGCTGTTGATCTCACCTGACCGCTACCACCTCGAAACACTACGGGACTAAACTGTAGCATCATGCTGCAGCTTGCTGCATTCTCACCTGAGTCAGGTTATGGCAGGTAATCGCGTACACGCTTATTGCGGTGCATAAGATGCTTCCACATCTTCAGCCTGACGCGGGCACTCGCATCCATTTCGCCGATCGGTTTCGCCACAGGGTCGTTTTTTGACGGGTTTTAAAGAGGTCAGGAAAGTTATGTATGGTAAACGCAGGTTTTAGTGCGGTGATAGATCAATATGTGATGGGAGTGTCCGCGTCTTAAGCACACCCCTCTACATCGATTCGTGCGTTTGATGCACTACAACTTTTTGAGCTACAATGCTCCATCACAACCAAACATGCTTCCCTTCCACATGCCTTCCACAAACCTCATTATTCTGATCCAACCAAACCCTACAAACACCTGCCCCGGAACCTGAAAGTGCTTGCCTACAACTGCCGGCCTTCCACATGTGATCGTGATCCAAACCCAACGACCATCTGCATTCGAACCATGATGTGCATCAACACATCCATACAACCTGGCACCAATGTAGGGACACCAATAACAGTATCACGCAACCTATGCCTAAAAATAACCTACCGACGCTCATCCTTCTCAAACTCGTTGTGCAGAGATGAGAACAGGATTGCTCGCCTCTGCTGCCAGCATCAATCAACACACCACCTTGCACAAAGCCGCAGAGACACTGCAGCACCAACCATGCCTATCCCACCCATAAATCATGAACTTTCCAGCAGCAAACAATGACACAACTATTTCATAGCCACAGCAGCTCCTGCGTCACCCGAACTGCCAGCCGACTTTACAGCAGCAGAAGCAGCAGCAGCAGCAGCATCAGAAGAAGGTCCTACCCCAGATGGCCCTGGGCTCACCACCTGTTGCACTGGAACAGGAATATCCTGCAGTCCCCTCAATATAGTCACCATCTCAGACATTTTGGGGCGTGATTTAGCATCCAGCAAGCAGCAGTGTGCGGCCAGGGCCAGCTTCTGTGCCCCTTTCACAGGGAACCGGCCCCCGAGCCTGGGGTCCACAAGCTTGACGCTCTGGCGCCGATCCAAGAGGTACGGCTTGGCCCAGTACACGAGGCTACGCTCCTGCCACACCCGGTCCATGTCCACTGCTCTCCTGCCCGATAGCAGCTCCAGCAGCAGCACCCCAAATGCATACACGTCACTGCGGCTCGTCAAATGGCCTGACAAGAGGGAGGGGAGGGGGGAAGGGTATGAAGAGGAGGAGGAGGAGGAGGAGGAGGAGGAGGAGGAGGAGGAGGAGGAGGAGGAGGAGGAGGAGGAGGAGGAGGAGGAGGAGGAGGAGGAGGGAAGGAGGAGGAGGAGGAGGAGGAGGAGGAGGAGGAGGAGGAGGAGGAGGAGGAGGAGGAGGAGGAGGAGGAGGAGGAGGAGGAGGAGGAGGAGGAGGAGGAGGAGGAGGAGGAGGAGGAGGAGGAGGAGGAGGAGGAGGAAGAGGAGGAGGAGGAGGAGGAGGAGGAGGGGGAGGAGGAGGAGGGGGAGGAGGAGGAGGAGGAGGAGGAGGAGGAGGAGGAGGAGGAGGAGGAGGAGGAGGAGGAGGAGGAGGAGGAGGAGGAGGAGGAAGAGGAGGAGGAGGATGAAGTGATGCAGCACCAGCAATTGCGCACACATATGGTAGACGCACGTCATCTCAACAGCTCAGCAGAGAACCGCACTACTGCACACCGGCACACTGGCACGCACCTGTCTGCATGTACTCAGGAGCAGTGTAGCCATAGGTGCCGACCACTTTGGTGGACACATGGGTCTTGCCGCCCCGAGGCCCGTCCTTGGCTAGCCCAAAGTCTGACAGCTTGGGGAAAAAATTCTGCATTGGGTGAGTTCATACCAGCATCAGCCAAGGCGTGGGAAGGACAGGGGGTTGGAGGAGAGGTGTGGGGAGAGGTGGGGGGGTCGGGGAGGGGGAGATGTGAGGTAAGGTAAGAGTCACTTCGACCTGCGGAAACGAGTGTTGCATTGCATGAAGTCGGAGTGCTCGCACTGAATCATCCTCTTCAGGCTGGGTGTTCTATCCTGTCCTGGAGGGGCATAGCAATGCCGACACATACACACAGCCCCACTCGGCACACAACACAACACACGCATAACCTCAGCATTACAGCAACCTAGCATTGCAAAAGCTAGGCCTGCATTGCATCACACCGCAGCGCACCACACCACACTGAACCGCACCTCGTCTAGCAGGATATTGCCGGCCTTGAGGTCTCGGAAGATGACCTGGTGCTCTGTGCCCTCGTGCAGGTATGCCAGCCCCTTGGCTGCACCCAGTGCCACCTTCACCCGCACCTCCCACGTCAACGGCGGCTCCGCTTCTGAGCCAGAAACACAGAGACACGGACAGACACACGTGGAGAACTGTGAGGCGAAAGGCTTGGGTGCGGGTTGAAGGGACTTTGATGTTGCAGAAAATAAGACACAATTTATGCTTTTTTGAAGAATCAAGCTAATAGTTAATAACGTTCTTGGGATAAGCAAGTGACGAGACTGCATTAGTGTGCGGGCATTGCGCGTTCATGTGTGAATGCATGCGTGAAAGTGTGCATGTGTCTGCGTGTGTGTGTGGATGCATGTATTCGTGCATGTGTGCATGAGCGTGAATTCGTGCGCGAGCACCATTGAAGAGATGGCAGTCGAGGGAGCGGTTGGGCATGTACTCGTAGACCAGGAGGCCCTTTTCCTTCTCCGCACAGTACCCCACCAGCTGCACCAGATGCGGGTGCTGCAGGCGCCTCAGGAATATGACCTCCGTCTGCCAGTGCATGCATGCCACCGATCCATGCCATGCACACATGCCATGCCGCGCACACACATGCATGCGTACATATCACCCATGCATGTCATACACACATGTCACACACACATGCCGCACGCACGCACACGCGCACACAACCACGTGTGCACAAACACCATGCACAACCCCACCATGCCGCGCACAAGTGACACCAGATGGTCGACACAGCACAAACATAGAGATGGAGTGAGTCTCGGTCAGACCACAGGAAACAGCAAGAACAGTACTCAGGCCAACCACATCAGGAAATCCCTCACCACTCCCATAAAATCACTCCACTCCGTTCACCTGCTACCATCCCCCTCCCATCCTCTCCTCATCCCTCCTTTCCCTCCAGCCCCACGCCCCGCCCACCACTCCGGCCCAACCCCCATCCCCTCACCAGCCACTCCTTGAATCCCTGCAGGCCCTGTTGGCTCAGCTGCTTCACAGCGACCTTCGTCTGCACGTGCTGCCCAGTGTCCTCGTCCCTCACCATCAGCAGCCCCTCATACACCTTTCCGAACCCGCCCTCCCCCAGCACCAGCTCCTCTTTAAAGCACTGCGTCGCGTCCCTCAGCTCTTCGTATGAAAACTCCTGCGGGGCCACCGCCTTGTGCTGCTGCAGCTCCAGGGCAAGCTCCGCTAAATACCCTCCCGGGTTCAGGCTTCTCCGGCTGTTTCCCCCCCCCGGCCCCGACCCGCTGCCTGGATTTTGTTGGGCCCTGCTCGCAGCAATAGCTGCAGATGACGATTCTGCTGCTTCTCCCCCTACCTCTCCCTCTCTAACGCCTGTGTCGTCCCTTGATCCAGACGACTCCCTACTTATGCGCGGTTGTTCTAAACCCGCTGCTCCATTACCTACCACTGCACCCCCTACACCCCCTACACCCCCTACACCCCCCACCCGGCCATTATCCTCTAACGCGGGATTCGGCGGAAACGCATTCTCATCGTCTGAACCTTCGCCGGGAGGCGTCACAGCCGCACTGCCTGGTTCGGCCGCCTCTGACCCTTCGTCTCGCAGCCTATGCCACGCCGCCCCGCCCCCGTTGCTGCTGGCGACTCCTATTCCCCCATCCTCTACCCTATCTGCATCTCTCTCCACCGATTCGCCCGGCAGCCGCACCCCGACCACCACGCCTTCCTGGATCTGAATCACCCCGCCGTTCTTCACCCCGTCGCCATTGCTCTCCTCGTTGTCGCTGTTGTCATTGTCGTCCCCACCACCACCGCGAGCCTCCATCTCCTGGGATCGCTTGAGCGTCTGTCGTATCTCCTCCATCACCGCATCCATCTCGTCAGACGCCTCACTGCTTCTCCTTTCCACCCTCGCCCCTTCCGTCCCTGCGTCACTTCTTTCTCCTCCTCCCGCTGCTGCTGCTGCTGCTTCTCCCCCTCCTCCTCCTCCTCCTCCTCCTCCTCCTCCTCCTCCTCCTCCTCCTCCTCCTCCTCCTCCTCCTCCTCCTCCTCCTCCTCCTCCTCCTCCTGTTGCTGCTGCTGTTGCTGCTGCTGCTGGCTCTCCTGTACTACCTCTTACTGTTTCACCTCCTTCCCCTACCGCTCCTGGAACAGCTCCGTCCGTCTCTGTCACTCTCCGTGCCATCTCATCAGCTGATACTCCCGCTCGTCCTTCCCCTCCCCCCTCCCTTTTCCCCTCCCCCTCCACCTCCCCCTCCCCCTCCCCCTTCCCCTCCACCTCTCCCTCCCCCTGCCCCACCCCCTCCTGCTTCCCCTTCCCGTCCGCGTCCGCCTGCTCCTCCTCTTTCCTCTATAAGTGCGCTCGTCGTTCCTGGCAGTGGGGTAGTTTCGGCTATTCCGCCCCCTGACGCCTCTCTCGTTACGACTGCTGCCGTAGCAGCGCCGGAACCAGCAGCATCAGCACCAGCAACAGCACCAGCAACAGCCGCTGCAGCAGCGGGAGCAGGTATGCTTATTTGACAGTTCCCCCCGTCAACCTGTCTTCCAGAAAGTGGTCGTTTCGGCGAGATCCCGCCGACCCTTGTCTCGTTTCCGCTTGCGCCTGGCCCAGCCTTATTTGTCGATCCCACGGCGTTGGGCGCGTTGCTAGGGTTACTGCCGTCGGTAGGGTTACCACTGGTGTTGCCCGCATCACTGTTTTGCCAGGTAGGAGACCCGTCCTCGAACCCATCTGTGCAAAGCCATGAGCGACGCAGCGGGAAGAGAGGGGGAAGGAAAGGTGACGGGCCGGAAGAGACGAGAGGGCTGGCACAGCGAAGATCGCTTGTTAGAAGCTGGCACAACATAAAACAAATCTGGCATAGAAGGCTTTGTTGAGAATCACGCCATATCGTGAAGGCAGCCGGGCAACGGCATGAGACGTCCGAAGCTTTACAGTCCGACATAATTCCGGGCGAAACCAAACCCTAGGCCAACAGGAAATCACGCGCCGAAACGTGTCTATGGGCAAGAACATGGAATTCGGTGGCCGTACTAATGCAAGCTCGGTCCGTTCCGCTGCAAATCATTCGTGCGATTAAATTGGTGACCTCCAAGCACTTTCACGTATCGCAATTGTCGCGTGGGTGGACGGGTAAAACGGATAGAACTGGGGGGGAAAGGATTTGTCGCAATCGCCTTAGCTCGACAATGGTTAAGAACGCAAATTCACAGCGACAGCGCGCTTGACGTGACTCGACCGTGATGAAACTCGGGGACAATGTGGTAAGAGCTGCTGGATTGCTTACTCTCGTCGAGCGCAACCTTAGGCACGGAGACCCCACAGCCCATGCTCTGCTGTCAGGTGACATCAATGCCGGCAAGCCAGTCGAAAGAAATCGACGGCCACTGTATATCTAGTAGTAGATCGGACGGTGCTTCTGCTGGTGACGGACCCTTGTCGGTTAAAGCAAGCGGTAGATCGTTGATTGGTGCCCAGCTCGTCTGGCAATAGGGAAACCCTAGATCGTCAATGGGTTCCTCGATTTGCCGTTTGGTCAACAACAAAGCAAAAGGAACGGACGATGGAATTATTAACAGAATCGACAGTCATTGTATGGCGCTCGCCGAGCGAATACGGTCATGGCTTCTGTAGGAATTTAACGTTGAAACTGGACCTTTCGCTACAGGTAATGTGGAAGAGTCCGAGGTAAGTAAACTGAAGAGGAACAGGGGGGAGGTAAGTTCCTCATCAATAAAGGTTGACCTTTTCCTTCGTGCAAGAGGTGGAGAGAGAACCAATCCAGGGTGGGAGGGAGTGCTCGGAAGTTATGAAGGAAAGCATGGACAAGTTGCTGTAGACATGGTTGTAGTGCCACATGCACAATGCATGCAGTGTACACCTGCGGATGACAGTACAATACAGTTTTGGAAGGTTATCAGTGCTCCAAGGTCACTTTCCCAAAATCAGTGCTCTCTTCTCCAACACTGCCGGCAAGGCAGGAACCATGTCCACATTATTGCGCGTGCCCTTCACCAGTCTGAAGAGCAAACCCCAGCTTTCTGTGTGAGTCGTCGTCGTGAGCTTCGGTTGCGGATTTGGCGGGCAAAGGCTAGCATCCTCCGTGGTTTCCGCCATGCATCTGGATCGCAGTCTCTGACAAGTCCAATGTCTGGGTGAAGCCATGGGCGGCATCGGTATTGACGCCAGCATGGACGCTTCGACTACAGAATTTGCTTTCTCCCCTTTCAACTAACTTGTTTGTAACACTAGCTGAGATGCTTTGCTGATGTGAACTAACGATTGCGCACAGCGTAAGGGTTGTGAAGTTTCACGTTCAGCAAACTCGTTCAGAAGGTTACATAACAACCCCTTCTGTCACGGATCAGAGGAGTGACTACCCTTGAGAGTCGCTGCGGAATCCAAGCCCACCCCAGGTTTTCACGGACCCAGAGCCTGGCGCTGGCTACTGTAGCGGTATTGGTCGTGTACCGAAATATAGAAAACGAAACCATTCCCTTACCACTGTGCTAACACAATCTTACAAATGAAGTCTCAGTATAAGGGCCACTTTTTATCGCATCATCCACTGTAACGTTCACTCCCCCTGTTATGAGTTGTGAAAGAGAAGAGTGCGCAGAATCCAATAACGCGGAAGCGATTACAACGTCTGGGCAAACATCAAGGCTAGGACTAATATACCAGTGCTAGCTAGGCCGAGGTCGCGGAGTCGCGAGATGGTTGGGTGCAGGTTCGGGGTTGGGAAACCCGAAGGCGAAGCGATGGTGGTTCGGAAGAAGAGGTCGTCGGACCGAGCCTGGGTTTCCGAAAACCGTGGTTGTACGCGTACATTGTGACCCAGTAAGGAATCTGAGAAAATTCTTTACATTACCCCCCCTTCTAAGAGAGGTGGTGTATATCCGGGACACCCCGGCGGGCCAAGTATGCATCTACAACCGGATGTCCTTGTAGCAAGTCAGCTGCGACATATGTGTCGTCCTCGCTCGTGCGATCTTTCCAGCGAAGCAGGAAAATGATCGTGCGTCCGGCAGTAGTCAGCTCCACGCGATGGCTCAGAATCTTCCAAGGTTCAAGCGTGGGTTCGGCCACCGATCGTGTGGTCGGCGCGATGGTGGGCCGAGCGACAACTGGTGACTGCGGCTGGTCATAATGTCGCAGCAGGCTGACGTGGAACGCGTCATGTATCTTCCAATGGTCGGGCAACAACAGTTTCGCGGTGACAGTTGTCACCATATGGATAATCCGAAAGGGTCTGACGTAGCGTGGCCGGAGTTTCGCTGGAGGTTTTTGGTGTCCAGGAGGACTACTTGCCTGGTACGGAAGGGTAAGTCCCCTCAGCGTCCAGAAGACCATCGGATCCAGCTGGAACCCGGCGCGCAATCCACTGTACGGACACAGTGGCAGCTCAGCCAACCAGAGCTCGAGAAGCTGGGAAGCCAGCTTGATTACCTGCTAGCCAAAGGATTCATACGGCCAAGCACGTCGCCATTCGCAGCACCGATACTGTTCACGCCGAAGAAGGATGGGGGCCTACGCATGTGCATTGATTATCGGGCGCTGAATCGGGTCACAATTAAGTCACGTTACCCGATCCCGCGAGCGGACGATCTGCTGGATCAACTTCGCGGAGCAAGGTTACATTGATAACCACACGGTGTGGTAACCACAAGGTCGACCTCGTTGGATCACTGTGCCCCCTAGATTGAAGGCTCCTTCGATCCCTCCCAAACCTCGCGTCGGGGTGATAGCGCCGTTCCAAGCCTGATGCAAACGACCAGAGCTATCGAACCGTCCAAACATCCCATCGTCGCACCATCCGTCGCACCATCGCTCCATGGCACCGTCGTAACTTTCGTTGCTCGACGTGACCAGCATACAGTACTTCCTGTCTGCTAATAGCGACGTTTCTCAAGCTGTGACGCCTGGACCCCTCTGTCGTTTCACTCAATTCCTCGAGCGACTCGGCGACTTGTGACGGGACGTGGGAGGTGTAGGCAGTGTGCGACGCGACGAGAGCCGCGGAGAGAGACAGACGGGTCACGAGGGTGCACGACGATGTCTAGAAATACCCGCCGACGTGAGGAGATGAGTCATTCATTCGGAGTGGTGCGACGACGACGAGAATCAGCAATAGCCGCAGCCGCCGCAGCAGCAGCAGCAGCCGCCGCCGCAGCAGCAGCAGCGGCGAGGATTTCGAGACTTGTTCGGTTCCGTGGTCAGTGTAGAGACAGGCGCAGCAAACGGTGGTGGTGGATTCTCGCTCGTTTCTCTCTCTCCTGATTGGATCATAAGGCTGACGGGGACGTGCTGTCCTGACGGGTTCAAGAAAGCACGTAAACTTCCCGCAGGTGCCTCACCAGCAACTGTCAGCCGTCCTCTCCACTGGTCGAGGCAGTAGAGGCGCAAAGGGAGACAGGCAGAGAAGCCGAGGGAAGAAGATAAGCACGTGCGGGAAGAAGATAACCACCCTGTGCTCATAAGATATATCCTGCTCGCGGGCTTCCTCTCTTCGTCCACTGCTCCTTCAGACTAGGAGATTTAACAACGCTTGCAACACCAGCAGCTACAATACCGCCTGCAAAGCCAGTGGTATCCGCAGTAGGAGGAGCTGCAACTGGGGTGCATCGCACCTCTTCCTCTCTCCTCCCTCCCTCCCTTCGCTCCCAGAGGACGCTCTTCAAAACGTCCTCTAATGGCGAAGCCTCTCCGCTCTCCCATCCCCGGCCTGCCCCTCCTCCCCGCCTCCCTCCTCCTCGCGCTCTTCCTCCTCCTCTCTCCCTACTCCTCCCCCTTCCTCCCGCCCGCGCCGCTTCTGGCGGCTGCTCAGCCCACGGCGGCGGCAGCAGCAGCAGCAACGGCGTCGGCGACGGGCAGGGAGGTGGGGCGCGCGCAGGAGTCGGGGTTCTGTGACCGCTTCGTGCGGCCGTATGGGCTGCAGTGCCGCGAGTACCAGATGGGTGGGTGCCTACCGGATTGGAGTGCTGCATCTTTGAGCCATTCTCTTGCGCCATTTTGACACGTCAAATTTGCCTCTCTTGTGTTGCCCGCCTTGTTCCCTGCCCACCTGCCCGGCTGCACGGCCGCCCATCCGCCCTGCTTTCCCCCCATGTCCCACCCCCCCCGCGTCGCAGATCACCACGAGTGACGGGTACATTCTGAGCATCCAGCGACTTTTGAGGCGCCTCAAAAGTCCTCCCATGTCCCACCCCCCCGCGCTACAGATCACCACGAGTGACGGGTACATTCTGAGCATCCAGCGTATCAGCAACACGTCTGTCACCGCGCCTCCCATCACCATGCTCGCTGCCTCCACCTCTGCTGTTTCTGCTGCCACAGCCCCACTCACCACCACCACACCTACGCCTGCTCCCACCAACGCGGTTTCCGCGGCCGGTGCAGCTGCTGTGGCAGCAGCAGAAGCAGCAGCGCGGACAGTGAGCGCAGCAACTGCAGGCTTATTCGCCCCCTCTGCCACCACCGGCACAACCACTCGCACCACGACTCCTGCTGCTGCTGCTGCAACCACATGGCCAGCAGGACCCGCAACAGCAACAACAGCAGCAGCGGCAAGCACCGCCGTGCCTGAGCTTCCGTCCCTGCCATCCCTCCCGTCCGGTCGCCCCATGCTTCGCCCCCAGCAGCAGCAGCAGCAGCAGCAGCAGCTCCAGCGCCAGGAGCTACCTACCACCACCACCACTCTTCCCTCCTCCCAACCTCTCTCCCAACCCATCGCGCAGCCGCTCGCGCAGCCTCGCTCCACCTCCCAGCCGCAGACCCTGGCACAGACACAAACCCAGGCGCGTGTGCTGCCGCGGTACCCGGTGCTGCTGTCCCACGCCATGTTTATGTCCAGCGACCTCTGGTTCGCCTTCTCCAACCAGAGCGGCTCCGACCCGCTCATTCACAAGCGCGTGCCCGTGGGGCTGTGCAACCGCGGGTTTGACGTGTTCCTGCTCAACCACCGCTCCACTGAGTTCTCCCCGGGTCATGTCGCCTACAACACCCGCCAGTGGGTAAGTCACCTCTCTCAAGCAGTCACCTCTCCCTCTCTCTGCCTCTCTACATTTCTGTCTCTCTGCCTCTCTGCCTATATACCTCTCTGCCTATCTGCCTATTAAACTCCCCTCCCCTCCTCATTACCTCCCTCCGCTCCCCTCCCGCTTGCCCACCAACAATACTGGGACTGGGACTTCGACCAGCTCGCCACAATCGACATTCCATCAGCGATCGAGCTCGTGCTGGGAGTGACAGGCGCGCCCAAGGTGCATCTGCTGGGATTCAACGAGGGGGGTATGCTGCCCTTCGCCCTGGGCAGCACGTCCCCGCGCTACCTCGAGCGTGTCACTGCCTCCGTGTCGTCTGTCGCGCCAACGGTTTTCTTTCAGAATGTCAAGTCACGTGTGCTTCGCCAGTGGGCACTCGGGCCCTCGCCTGACGCTGTGAGTCTCAGTCCTGCCCCTTGCGCGCTTCTTTCTCCCGCCTCTCGCATTTCTTGCTTCACCAGTGGGCGCTCATGCCCGCCTGCCTGATTCTATGAGTCTGAGTCCTGCCCCTTCCGCGCTGCTTACTCCTGCCTCTCGCGGTCTGCTTTGTGTACCTCATACCCCCCCTCGTACGCTTTTTTCCCCTATCGTCTGCAATTTATACCCCTCCCGCGTGCGGTTCTTTCCCAGACGCGCTCATACCCTTTGCTCGTTCTCGTCTCCCTTTGTATGCACCCGTCTGCTTCCCTTCCCCCTATCTTGCCTCTCGCCCTTCTCCCCTAATGCAACCAGACCGTGTACCAAGCTCATCTCCTGTACGGCGCCTACAATGTCTCTGTCTACAATGTCTGTGTTCCAAGGCACACGTTTCTATTTCCATATACTCACGCACACCTGTGAGAACTGCTTGTCATGTCCCACCTTAGACAGCATTTGCTTCGCGCTGCGTGTGAACTACAGCATCACGATTGTTCCCACCGCTGCATGTCTCTTCCTTTGTGTTCCTGTCTGATTCGGTTGTGTTTTCGCGATCCTGGTATGCCTGTACCCACTTCTGTCCACATCTGTCCCATCCTGGGGCGTGCATGGGTGTGCATGGATGTGCATGGGTGTGCATGGGTGTGCATGGGTGTGCATGGGGGTGCATGGGTGTGCATGGGGGTGCATGGGTGTGAATGGGTGAGCATGGGAGTAGCACGGAGCTCCTATCAGGCATACTGGAGGCGGTGGGGTACAACATGCTCACCTACTTTGTCACCACGGGCGACCCCCAGGACCTGCTCACCAACATCACAGGTCACCTCTCACACACACACAACCCCCCTCTCTCCCCTCATGCATGTGATCACTCATGCTATCAATCATGCAGCCATCCATGCAACTAAGCATGTGTATGCCAATACGAATGTTCCACGCACGGACCATATGAAACCCCTTTCAGGCGCCTCACAACTCGTCTCGACTCTCTCTTCCTCCCTCCTCCCCTTCCCTCTCGTTCCCTCGTACCATTGCCCCATCACGCGCCCATCAGGCAACCCATGCTGCACGGACCCTATGGAGCCCCCTGCTGCCCCCACACCTGGGTGGATTGCCACGTCGTACCGCAACCTCATTCACTACCAGCAGCGTGAGTGGGACACGCATGGGAGGGAGAGGCAGGGAACGGGAGGGCACGGGAGGGAAGGGGAGGGAAGGGTATTAGAATTTGGCACTGCAATCTGCCGCACGCTCCCTTTCTCTTGCCACTGGTTAATACGCCCCTCCTCCCCCACCTGTGCCTGCGTGTATGATTGCATGCCTGTGCACATGTCTGGTGCATGTGTGCATGGTTTCAGTGATCCGCAACGGTCTCTTCCAGCAGTGGGATGCACTCAGTGCACAAGCCAACATGGACCGCTACGGCGCTGTTTCTCCCCCCATGGTCCGTCTCTTCCACCCACCTCTCTCACTTGTCGCTTCTCACGCAGTTTCTCTTCTCACTCTGCCCTTCTCACTTCGCTTCTCACCCGAGGCCCCAGTCCTGCTGCTGGCGGTTCTTCTCAGTTGTCTCTGCCCCTCTTCCATCTGCTTCTTGTCCCTTTGCCATAAGATTTTCCCTTACAACCAAATTTAAAGCTTTACCCGCCTGCATTTGCACGTTTCTTGCATATCTTTGCAGCCCTCTCCTGCACTCCACTTCACAACCCCTGAACCCTCCCACCCACCAATGGCCCTTTTCTCCCCACGCCATTTTCGCCCCTTCCCCAACTCCCATTCTCTACCCTCAACTCACCTGCTTGTTTCTTGCAATACTACCTATCCAACATGCCTGCAGGGGTACCCATTCTCATCATGAGTGGCGGCAATGACTGGTTTGGAGACCCACCCAACATCCAGAAGCTACTATCACAGCTCACACCTTCAAGCACCACCAGCGCAGGCTCTGCTGGTGCTGCTGGTCCCACCGTGACTCATTTGGAGCTGCCTCGCTACTCTCATCTTGACTTGCTGTCGAGTGAAACCGCAGTGCAGGATGTGCATGTTCCGCTTATTGAGTACCTTGAGACGGGCCATTTGGGCGGATAAAGTGCATGTTGTCGTAGCAGTATTTGTGTAAAGCATGGTGATTATATCATGGACTACCCTCGCATCACCTACCGAACGGAATCTGAGACGATCGGATTCATAGGCTTCACGATGTCTATTCCCAACTTGTCCATAACCTCCTTGGCTTGGAGATAATATCTGGGCTTAGCTGTTCTAGTATTCGCCTCTTTTCTGGTTTTAACAAATCAAGTATAACTCCATTTGCAGGTTTGGTCCTCCTGTATTCAGCTCATGCAGGAAGTTAAGGTTTTATGTTGCAAAACTTATATTTGAGGCGTATGGAATTTGTAAGGAAATTTCCTTTTCCTTACTTCGCGTCCCCGTTCAGAGCGTACACCACTGTAGCACCACAGTCAGCACCGTTACCACTCGCAACCCTCGCATCGACAATCCTCCCGCCACCTTCGCACGTTGCACCCCGACCTCACGGCTCGGCGGGTAACCCGCGCTCCGGGCCTCCGCTTCGACATTTCCCCAAACCTCAGTCCCAGGTCCGTCGCGCGACAACCACAGTTCATTACCGTTACTGTGAAGATGAGCAGTAGAAGAAGGCGCCATAGCTAGGAAAGCCCTAGCTAGGCAAGAAACAGTTTAGGCAAAGGAGGAGGTTGCACTAGCAAGAATGAGGATACAAATAGCAAACCCTAGAAGGGTTGTACTCGCTATAGAGCACCCCACTACAGGCTAGAGCATAATATTCTGACACACCCCCATAGCCAAAGTGGGGTGTAATCAGCAGAGCAAGCAAAGCAGTACAAGCTCAGGGTGGATCACAATGTCACCACACATTCTGAGCACAAGTTCAAGAAGCAATAGTTTAAAGTTCACAATTATGAGCAAAGCTAGTGGTAGTCACAACGGGCAAGTGAGGAGGAGGAAAGAGACTATGAGAGGAGAGGAGGTAGTGGGCGGCAGCTGAAGCTGCTGGCACACGGCGCAACTGGAGCAACTGGCACACGGGCAACTGGAGCAACTGGCACACTGGCAACTGGAGCAACTGGCACACGGGCTACTGGAGTAACTGGCTCCGCGGCTAAAAGTAGCGGCAGACGAGCAACGGACTCACGGGCGACTGGAGCAACGGGCTCACGGGCGACTGGCGCAACGGGCTCACGGGCGACTGGCGCAACGGGCTCACGGGCGACTGGCGCAACGGTCTCACGGGCGACTGGAGCTGCTGGCTTCACGGCGGCCACCCCCTTCAACCTCCCCAAACTATCCCACTCCCCCTGACACACACCCGCTGCTACACCGCTAGCTCCACTCCCCCTTCACCCCCCCTTAGTACCACTCCAACGGCTCCAACAAGTCCACCCCCCCTCAGCGGCAGCTGCAGCACAGGGAGACGGAGGAGGAGGAGGAGCAGGGAACGGCACACAGTAGCTTCACCCCCATACCCCTCACCCCCAAACCCTAATTCAGGAGAACGGGCTGTAGGAGGGGTGGGGCGCCAGTAGAAGCACGGGGGACAGCGGGGAGGGCAGGGGCAGCGAGGAAAGGGCCGCCCACGGGCCTGGCACAGCCTCCCGAACCGCGCGCAGGCGGCCCGAGCCGCGCGCGGGCCTGGCGCAGTCCGTACGGGCCGCGCGCGGGCCTGGCGCAGCCCGTACGGGCCGCGCGCGGGCCTGGCGCAGCCCGTACGGGCCGCGCGCAGGCCTGGCGCAGCCCGTACGGGCCGCGCGCCGGCTGTACGGGCCGCGCGCAGGCCACGACGGGCGACGGGGGGCGACGCGCGGGTCCCCGTCGCCCGTCGTAGCGCCTCCTGGGGGCGACGCGCCGAGTGACGGGGCAGAAACCCGTCGCGCGCCTCGGGGCGCACGGCGGGCAGAAAACCGCCGCGCGCCTCGGGGCGCACGGCGGGCTGAAAAACCCTAATTTCGACGCCGCGCACCACGGGGCGCGCGGCGGACAGGGAGTAGCAGTAGCAGCGGAAGCAGTGAGGTGGGGCCCACAGGCCAGGAGCATATCGCTCTGATACCATGTGAAGATGAGCAGTAGAAGAAGGCGCCATAGCTAGGAAAGCCCTAGCTAGGCAAGAAACAGTTTAGGCAAAGGAGGAGGTTGCACTAGCAAGAATGAGGATACAAATAGCAAACCCTAGAAGGGTTGTACTCGCTATAGAGCACCCCACTACAGGCTAGAGCATAATATTCTGACAGTTACCACTGTAGTTTCGCTATACATTCTTCGCTCATGCCTTCACTCATTGTACTCTTGCTTCGATAGTGCAATTCTCGCTCGCTCACTCAATTGCACTCGTAACAGAATTACATATTTCTCTGTAGCAGTAAAATAGACCCGACGGAGACATCAACTAGGAACCTGCCGCATGCTGCGGGGTCCATAGAACAGATGTAAGGGCGTGTGTCATTCGGCGCAATTTGTAAAGTTCATGTTTTTAATTCGAATTTTAACAATTTAACAAAGGTCGACCTGCAGTCGACTTTCTCAACTTTTGTTGGTCGGACCGCGTGATCACACTTGAATTCAGGCACATGGAACAACAATGGTCGACTAGCCAAGTTCGACCGTATAGAGTTGGGCCCGAGTCGCACCCAAACTTTGTAGGTTACCCGTAGGTTACCAGATCAGCCAATTGATTATGGATTTCGCGATCGGTCGAAATTTTTACCTCGCAAAGTTGTTTTTCGTGCCACAATATTGTCGACGTGGCGGTTGGCGAAGCCACGACATTGACAACTGTTCGGTAGTGCGTGCGAGGATTTTTGTCATGGTCGCAGGTTTCGCAGATTCATCCAAAACATGCAAAAGTGATCACCTTTCCAAAAACGTGCTCGCGAACAGTCAATCGTAAGTTCGACCGGAGTTCAGTGTCCTTTTTCGTTTCCTTGATTTGGCCTATTCTTGACGAGCGTCGCGACCTAGATTAGCGAGATTCACGAAACGGGTAACCATATAAGTTAGAACTCTTTTTTGAACTCTGACCAGCAAGGACACACGCCCTAATGGCCTCATGTACAGTACAGACTGCAACCCACATTATCGGCCAGGGCCACGGTTGTCAACAGCTACATCATCCCATTACTGACATTTCAGGCGCAAGTTTACCCCCCACCTGCGGAAATCTGGGAGGAGATCATCAGACTGTTACAGGGCTTCCTGTCGGGTAACCGGGTGGCGACGGTGAAGGGTTTCATCCTCTGGAGCAAAACGTTGTTGTACACTCCAAGGGAGGTAGGAGGCGTCAGGGTGAAGGATCCGGAGATTATGATCACCTGCCTTGCCGCCAGGAGAGTGGGACTCTATCTTACGGAGCGGAATCCTCTGAAAAAAGGAGATCATGAGGCAGGCGGCCGATCTGCCCCTGGGCGATAACACTTTCTCTTCGCACGCAACCCTGCTGAAACACTGGGAAGGGAGGAGCGCAAGATGGAAGCAGACATGTGAGATTTTTATCAATTCACTGCTCTGCACCCGACCTGCGGCGGACAATAGAGAGGCGGTACTGAGGGAACGGCTGGTTTTTAACGGTGCATCGTTGCTACGGACACCTATCGGTGGGCAAAAGGATAGTAAGGGTTTATGGAAGGTGCGTGTCGGCGAGCTGCTGAAGACGGATGGCAGCGGAGAACTCGTGCTCAAACAACAGAGGTCGCTGTCGCAACAACTTGGCGGAAGCGGCCCCGCAAGGTTAGCGGTGAAGGCGCTGCTCACCCTGCCAGCGTCGTAGCTGCAGTTACTGGGTTTTGCTTCAGTCCCCCCGTGCTCGGCTGACTCTAACCCCAAGCTGAACATTTTGGAGGGAGGGGAGGTGATTTCCATCAGGAGAATGAGGGAGTGCTGGAAAGGGGCATACCAGGAGTCGAGCAAACGGGAGAAGTGGGTGAGAAGATGGGGGAGGTCGATCAATTGGAAGCGGGTGGTTACGTTACGAGACTCACTGGCGGTGCCCAGCCGTCCACGTGACGTTCTCATCCGCATCCACGGCCTGAATCTGCAGGTGGGGGAGCGGCTTGCATTCCTCAGCGGGAAACCGGTTTGTCCTTACTGTGGTGGAGAGGAGACCTTGGACCACTGCCTCCTCCTCTGCCCTCGGATACAGACTGTGACCTCGGCCCTCAGGCGCCCTCTGCGCATGATAAATCCCAACCGCTCAGTTGACACGCTTGGTGACTTACTGTTCCGGAAAACGGGGTCCAGCTCAGCTTTTCCGGAGCTAACCCTCACATCTATCGCCTTCCATCAGCTATGGGTCGAAAGATGTGAAGCTGTTTTTCGCGGGCAGAAATTCCGCACAAATCGAGTACTTCACAAGATCGAACTACGTTCAGGCAACATGCACGAATCTACACCCGCAAGTTCGGCGCAACTTGCCATAAACGGCATCGGAAGAACTTTACGGAGGAGCAGAAACTTCTGGGGAAGATCAAGGTGGCCGGCTTGAGTTGGAAGTGGACAAGTGCGTTCGCCGCCCTTAGAATGTCCCATCTGGAACAGTAGCTCACCCTCTGTTCCTCACGCGCGGTTACGACCGTTATGGGGATATATGCTTGCTCATTCGGTGTATATCTTTTCATATATATATATAAAAAACAAGAGTCGACGATATCGTCTTAGGGTTGCGGAGCTATGATTTGGAATATACCAAATTTCGATTTTTATAGTTAATATCTATAAAGACAATGTCTGGATTTCCAGTAAAGAAGAAAGTTAATGATTTTTTTTTTTAATGATAATTGAAAGTATACACCGAAGAGCAAGTATATACTAACAAGAACGGTCGTGACCGTGCGTGAGGAGCTAGAGAGAACCTCTTGCTCCAGATAGGATTCTAGGGCCTGATGCGCCTGACCCTCCTCACCGACCAGATTGCTGCAATGTTATTTGTCCATGTCAGGCTTCTTCCATCCGTTCTGATCCTTTCAAGCATGTTCCATTCCTCCGATGAGCCACGCTGCCTCTGCTTTCGCCACGTCGACCCGAACTTGTGAATGTACAGTTTCACGTGCTGCCGAAAA